TTAACACATGGAACTTATCCATTTTCCAAACAGACGAAAAGACACCAAAATTTCCCAACAATGTTCTCACGCAATCAGCCTATAAACAAAGAAAATCTGTTAGGCTGCGGGGCGCGGTCCCTTGCTTGAGAGCGCTTGAAAAAATGCACACATTTTGCATGCTGAAAGGTCGTAGGTATAAGTAGACTTTCTTTTCTGGTTATGGTCACCATATGTGCCATCGGTTGCCGACTGTGCAATTTCCATGAAAAATCGCAAGAGTCAAGCTGACGCCGCCTGAAGGTCTCAGTACGCGGACATGTGTTGTTTGTCGCTCCCGTCCTCGCACACATACCATCCTGTGTACATACATATGTATGAATACACAAGCTTGACGCTGGGTATAAGCAACTACAAACACATACACATTTCAGTGTATATTATGATATTGTCGCCATCCTGTCTCTAGGCAAGATATGTGTTCCCCATTCTGATACTTTATTTGAAGCGAATACTACAGTTTTCGGGTTTACATATTTTGCTGAATACATATATCTTTTGTCACATCTGTACAGTTATTTACCAGATTAAATGGATTATTCTTAAGAGACTATTGTTCATATCATATTAAAATGCTTACTTTTTTCTTGGTCATATTAAAATGCTTCTTTAAAAGCGCTCGCTTCAAACATGTTGCACTAGGTTGCTACAGGTTATTTAATGTTGGCTACAACAGTTTGTTACAACCTGTTTAATGTTCCTACAACACTTTGTTGCAGTTGCAGCAGGGGGACAGCTTTGTTTGATTGGATACTTCGTGCTCTGAGGTAAACTGCTTGGAGATGATTTACAGAAAAACTAAAACTATAAATTGATTAAAATGTCTTCTTTTAATATTTTAATTGATTATTGGCCTCTTTGACTATTAGAAATGAATCAAACTAATACATCTTTAGTTACAATTTGGGAAATTAGCAATATTCTCAAATTTAAGTATAATCTTGTTCGTAATATTTTGATATCCTCTGCTCAAAACATTAAGGTTGATGCTATATATGTATATATTGTGATAATGTCAAGACACGTGAGCTCGTTCGTTGCCAGGCTGTTGCACAGCCTGTTGCCTATGTTGCACGTAGCACATACTCCCCTTCTGTGACGTCACACGCATAAACATGTGCACATTACGATAGCGGCTGAAAATGGGTAACTTATTATAAACGTGTCAATGCCATTGTTACCGCTCAAATACTCACCTGATGTCCCTCAGTATTTGTATAACCGTTAGTTGTATACACAGGAATGAGCTGTTTATGTGATATATGTTTTAATTTATAAAAAAAAAAAAAAAAAAACAACTTTTAACGCTCGCCAAATTTGAGTTTTTTTTTCTATTCTATTTTGTATGTGGCTTAAGCTTAGATAATACAAATTTGAAATATAAGCATCAATGTCATATGAGAATATTGCTAGCTCATTTACTATATAATTTCATATATGACACAACACTTATACTACCAATTGTTTTGCACGCAAAACTGTTGACCAGTATGGTCGAATATCTCCTATGTATCAGTATCAGTAGCATATCATGCACAAATGAGGTCCCAAACTGAAAGCTATAAACGTTTCAGAAAAAAGGTGCGCGAAGTCATTAGAAGTGCACAATTTAGAAAAGCAAAAGGAAAACAAGTGCAAATTAATTATGGAAATTCTAAGAAGTCACTTTTACCTGAGCTCTAAGTTCTGAGTTGCATGACCGGGTAAAACCCGGAAAATATCAATTGGTCGGTCCGGTACACTTGGAAACAGTCGTCAGTAATTATATTAGGCAGACTAAAAGCAATTAGTGTTTGAGACTCGGGCGAAACAATATAAGTTACGACTGCGTCTGGCACAGGCAGGTAGTGAACTGCGAATGGATTAAAATTCAATGGCTTTAATAAGGAGAAATTTTTAAATATCGAAATATTCGCCATAGCATAATCATTTAAAATATGTATATAATTTATATAGCACTTTCTGTAAACTATATCTGCCCTTGGCAGAACCATGCAATGCAGGAGCTATTACATTATGTCTTGGTAATTCTAGCCGGGTTAAAAATTTTATTTTCTAGAAGAGCCGATTGAATTACGTTCACACATACATATACGACTTTGCGAGACATGTACACAATATCCTTGAACTTGGAGCTTGACAAAAGAATAAGTTGAAAAGCTTCGCCGTGCCCTCAGCTTTGACGACTGTGCGGGTTGTGTCTGCTTCAGCGTCTGGCGAATGCAACAGGTAAACAGGTTAGCCAGCAGTCATATCGTGCTGTAGAAATTAAAAACGAGAGTTAAGAGAATGGTCGACTATAAGCTGACCTATAACTGTGATCAAAAGTATGGTAAATATACTGACATGCAAGGGAATATGAAAAGTATGGGTTCAAAGTACGACAGCCTTAATTTAATACATCTGCTGAGAGCTCATAGGAAAGAATAGCTGATGGAGCTACCAAGAATAAGTCTCAGCGTTATTAGCAGCTTATTTCAGAAGTTTTGGCTTACTGCTGCTGCACTAGTTTGAGCTCCTTAAGAAGGCATGATTATGTGAAACATAAACATTTTCCTAGAATTATTTATCTTCTGCCATTAACTGGTTTCTCCTCTGCCACTAAACGAACAAAAATAAGAACATATGAAATAATCTTAGCATAAGAGTCTGTTTAACTGCCAATGTCGATCTATTATGTTATTCGATGCCCACGTGATGTACATTATCCAGCTGTTTGATATGGAACCTAGCAAGCTATCAGATGCGGGTGCGCAATCGAGATATGCAGTATTCAGCTCGGTAAATACTTACGACACTTTAACAGTAGCAAGGTCTCCTCGCTTTTTTGAAAACAAATAAAGAGTGTGCATTATACCCACCGCATAGCTCTCATTTGTAGTTGCATCTCCATTTCAGCATATGCATGAGGCGTTTGCCACCAACTGCGAGTTTGACTCTCTGTATAAAAAAAACTGAACTGTTTTCCGGGCGCACTGGGAGTGACAGCACGAACCTCACACTTATCACCGCTGACTCAAATAGCTGCCGCGTGGGCAGTCCGTGTGGCCCGGCCCCACACTGCAGTGTAGCCTCCTCTCTGCAAACTGCGAACGTTATAGGCATCATAGAGTTGGGCGCACAGACTCTGCGACTGGCTGTGTGGAGAATCCTCTGCTTCACGACCAAATACAAACGCTTTTACAGCCATCTTGATAAAAATTGAGAGTCGAGCCGCCATTGCCACCGCCTGAGATTTATGTAAACAGCACACGGTGGCTACCCAAGCTGCTGTTGATGCGCCGTCTGTGTTGCAAAAGTTGCAAAACTGTTGTAAAGAAGTGGGGAAATGACCAATTGTGTGGAATTCCACATGGCGGCGTTAAAACTGACTGGCTATTCAAGAGGCAGTATCCATAGTCGCAGCATCCGCACCACTGACTCATTATAATTCACTTCACACTAAGCACACAATGTGCCCGCATTATTGCAACGGTCGGCCGGTCAATCAAGTTGAGTTTGGGGTCGGACTAAGGCTGTGCAGCTTATGCCGCAGAAATCCGCACAATTCAATCTGTTTAAAGAATGCCGCCTATTGCATACTGAACTCAGATGCGTAGTATCAGCAGAAAGCAACAACGCCAACTACGATGACAACCCGACGACTGGCGCAAAAGTCGCTTCAGTAACAACTCGTTTGCATGTGGCATCATCATCATCAGCAGCCACAAAACAAAGTGAGCCCAGAGGCCAGACGTTATGCCAGTTGTGCCTATGTCTGTCAGTCCCAGTGGCAAAGTCCCTTCGCAGATGCTGCAATTCAAAAGTCAGTTGAAAATATGACACAACTGGCGCCACCGCAGCAGCAGCAGACAAGCATACAACTCGAATTTTATTTCACGACTACGAAAATACTCGAGACAATATGTATGTATGTGTGCATACGTACATATCCACATTTATACCACGAAATGCTGTTTGTTGTCAAGAAGCAAATATGTATGTATGTATTTATACAATCGAAAAAGGCTAATTGTTAATATTATATTTTGCATATACTGTTGTAGGTGAAATTTTATTTTAGAGCTCGGGTATTCTGTATTTATGATCATTCAATTTATTTGCCGACTTAAATGATTTGTAATTTTTCGCTCAATTTATTTTGCGATCTTTTAGGTAATATTTAGTTGTGCTACAACTTAAAAATAATATAATTTTTATTATATTTGATTTTCAATCAAATGTACAAAAAAACATTTTTTCAATGACAAAAACATTTTAATAAATATGTATCTTTCCGTCATGTTTCATTCATAAAAAAAAAACAACGAGAGGTCGTTGCATCGAACATGTTTGACGGCTGAGTTGGAATATGAAAAGTTATAATCTAAATGCCTATATTTAACTAGAGCCGTGTCACGGAGCTATTTAATAACGGTATTTTTAGTGGACGATTTAGGTCAGCAATATAGTTCTATTGTGGTAAATCATTAAAATGAATAAAACTCAATTTGTATGATAAAGCAAACAAAGGGCAATTTTCGTATCCTTTTAGAATTATATTCTAATATTTAAATTCGATATAAAAATATTATATATCATACATACATACATACATACAGATATACATTGGTCTTTATCTTAAAATCACAAAAGTTGAGTTGTGAATGTAAATGAGTAACCTATTGAAAAATTTCAAAGTATTTACGGAAAAATATAACTGGGTAATAAAATTAAATGTTTCTAGTTTTAACATATTTTATAGGGACTTCATATAAGCTATAAGTAACTGCTAGGCATACTGCAGGGAAGATACAAATATGTTGAAAACAATCGGATACACATATCATATATTTCATACAATCGCGCTGAACAGTTTGTCACGTGTTCACCTCCAATTGCAACGCAACCGGTTCGAGCGCGTGTTGTTTTTAGTATGAAGCGAGCGTGTTTGGGCCTCTCGATACCGAAATATACTCCCGTGGTTATTAGATGTACTGTATTGCTGACTGTCGGACGTGTTCTGAGAGAACGCGGTCAAAAGCGAGAATAATTTAAAAAGTGTACAAGTGCATAAAACACAAAAAATAATATTGTGAGCAACAAACAACATTAATACCTATGAGATATATAAATTCTTGAAAAGCTTTATTTATTGTGTGATTTACCACCAATTGCTGCATTGATAATTATATATAAATGATAGATATTCGATATTTTTAAGGTGTTATTTGGATCTTATACTTTTCCAGTGTATAAATATTTCAAATGAAATATTGAAAAACACAATTGTTCAACTCCGTTCTGTGGATTACGCGTTCAGTTAAAAATTTTATTTTTTTAAAATACCAATAAATTTATCCACAATATGGAAGTCAAAGCAGACAAATTATATATGCAATTGAATGCAGCGGAGCTTGAAGCCATTATCAAAAAAAAAGGTGAGATACCGATACTTGACCAAATGCATACTTATGTACATACAACTGTAATGCTATCGACGTATATATATATATACGGAAACAGCAAACAAAACACACTTTGAGTATAAATATTAAAAACAAAATTACTTGTGTTTCCACTAATAACTAACAACAGCTGTTAAAATATTGTTTTAGTTCATATAATTCAGTACCAATACCGATATTGCTCAAGTTTTCACACATATTTATATGGCGAGCTAATAAACACGGATCATGTAGCAACTGTAAATAATTTCTATCCAAGTGATGTGTATTAAGTTAAGAAGTCAAAATATCGAACTAAATTTTATATAGAATGAACGCAACGGAGCGCTTCGATTTGTCTAGCACAACTCCAATAAAATCATATTTTCCTTTTAAAATTTCTTCTAAGAGGAATAATCACTCTCGCTTTACTCTTCTGATATTTTTGCGTTAGGTTATTTGCCAGAACCAGACGAAAGAGCAGCACTGAAATCGGCGGCGCCAACCAAAAGGGGCGCCGTTTGGCAATCACATTTAGTTTTGGGGTACAGTTGTCCGTCGCCTTGGGACGCCTTGTCCCCCTTAGGTCCACACAGAGTGGGGTACAATGTTGGCTGGCTGGTTGGTTGGCTGCCGTGACGCGTCGCGACGGTGCAGTTCTGTCAGCCTCTCAGATATGTTTGAACGTTTTTTTTTTTTCAATTAATCCGATTCGCACAGCAGTAACTATCCTTTTGTTTTGCATTTATGGCATTTATTTTTATCACAAACTTTTCAAAGCAATGACATTTTGTTTTAAAATGATCAATTTAACACGGACACGGCAACTGTGTTACTCTCTGCAATAATTTTCAATTAGGCACTCAAGCCTAATTAACATAAGTTGTGAATGTATTCAATACCCATTATTAGAAAATAATTAAATAATGTACGAAGATATTGAACTTGATGAGCTGTATAGCGATTCACTTAATTTAAATTTAAGTACGTATAAACATACCTTAATTTACCGTGAACTTATAATTCTATTTTGTTTCATTCATGAAAATGACTCGTCATGTTACTATAACAAACACAGATCATCCTCTATATACCTACACTTTGCGCGTAGACCTCTGCTGATAAGAGCACGCTTCCCACACACGGAACCCTGACAGCAGTCTAACAAGCAGCCAGTGCAGAGTAGACTCTGTCTGATAACCTCTGCCTGACATTTAGCATGAGAACACAGTTTTCAACAGTCCTATACATTTAAAATGTGTCTTTTTAAAATAGGTTTAAGTTGCAGTCATTCATTCTTAGGGAAAAAGGCCAATTATATCTAAACTGCTCCATTTTATTTAGCGCTAATCGGAAGACATGGATAGTGGTAAAAAAACACGTCGGATATATATCAAACAATCTTTAAATGTCCTAAGTGAATAAAATATGGTACAATACACTACCTTCGGGCAGAATTTTGCGATTGCTTGCTCTTTGTTTGCTGTATGTATGCAATATTTGTGGGCGTGTTGGCAGTAATTGTTGAATGCATGTCGTCTTCATAAGACGTTATGTAGAATGTATGAAGAAATAAAGATTAGACAATACAACATTATCCAATTATCGTATGTATTCTTAATTATATTAACTTGTAGAACTACTTTTATACAGGTGTTTTGACCTAGACGCCGACGCGTCGCTTAGCTTAGCATTTGTTTATATAACTACAGGGAACATGAATGTGTATATAAATGACTCCGTTAACTACTGTTATTTGTACAGCCTGTCGCTGCAGTCTCTTGAAATTCACTCTGTCGCTTTCTGGTCTAAAATTAGCAAAGATAGCAAAATGCGGTTATAAATAGTTGTGTCAACATGCACAAAAAGAGAAATAAAAACAGTCACATGTGTCTGTGCGTTCGGTTGCTGAAGTTAAGACACACAAAGTGTGAAATCGGAACTTAAAAAATCTATGAAAAGCAATAAATCTATTTATGATTTAAACTCATTTGATTTCAGTTCAACAGCTAAGCCTGTGAGTCAGCCTCTAACTAACTAATTATACTGAAACTCCAAAAGTTGTCTTTAAATGTTATTGAACCGTATTTAATAGATGTTTTAAATTAAAGTTGAAATTGCATACTTCTTAAGTCGCTCAAAAAATGCGAAAACTGGGCCTAAAATTGCCAAATTCACTGTGGAGGTCAATGGTAGGTACACCGATCAAATTGGAGAAAACTGGTTTTATTTTCGTTTGCGATGAATAACTTGAATTTAAATTTTTGGGGCTTTATTTATTTTTACCCGCTTGTCTGATCGTCTGAAATATGACACAGTTGCTTGCGTTTTCAGAAATTACCCACGGAGTATTACTGCAGACAGGCCAGCATTTTTATAACAAACTGCATTTAAATATGTTATTCAGTTTTATTAATTTTTGCTTAGCTTTTACTAAGTACTAAATTATATACTGTTATCAGTGTAAATAAATGAAGCATAGGTTGGATTATCATATTGAGTATTGTGAAACCTCACAGAGATCATAGAATGTGAGATGAATGACAAACAAAAACTTATCATGATGCCGAATAAATAAAGCAAGTCTCTGTTTAATACAACCGTTACGTTGATAGCGGCAACGCTTTTACGAATATTAGAAATATTGCTTAAAAATATTAGACCAAGATTAGTTGGTACTTACTAATATTAACTGTGGCAGTAAACCTATAAAACTATTATTAAAGTGTATTTATTACTTTTAGATTCACCTAGCTCCAATGATCGTGATGCGGGCTTCTGTTCTGCTAGTTCAGAAAGCGAAGGCGGTGACGATTTGCCGCTAGAGCATCCGTCGCAATGTGACAGGGCCCAAGAAACTCCTGTTGTGATGGTCCGCAATAAACGGAAGAGTATGGAGCCCTCGAAAGTTGTGGAGCCGACATCGACCATGAGAAATTGTTGTTCATCGCTAACCCATGGCTCAACCGTAGCACCCTCGGGTCCACTGAAGAAACGAATACGCTATTCTTCTTCAGTTGATTCGGCCGTAATGCTGACGCCGCCAGCTCTTCAGTCACCATCACACATCAGCCACACACACGTGCCTCCGGCACATGTATGGGACTCTGCCTCCGTCCAGGTGCTGCCACGTGAAATGTTACCTAATCCTGCGCACATTTTCATGCGTCATCCAGGTGTGACAACGCTACATCGTGCATTCGCAGCCTTCCCAACGCAGCCAGAACAAGAAGAACCGTTAGCGCTAATAGCCAGGCAACCCCAATCGGACGAATCAAGTGAAAAGCAGGCGCATCAGACCAACAAAGAAGCACCCCTTGCGTCCACCGAATCCCTAGAGGAGCACACCATCGAGGAGGAGTACTCATTTAAGGATCATCACAATAGTTCCCTATCAAGGCCGCAGCAGCGGAACTATAAAAATATGACTCGAGAGCGCAGAATTGAGGCAAACGCCCGTGAACGCACCCGAGTTCATACGATCTCCGCTGCTTATGAAACATTACGCCGTGCCGTACCAGCATATGCGAGCTCCCAGAAGTTATCGAAGCTATCTGTATTGCGTGTGGCCTGTTCCTACATACTAACGCTAAGTCGTCTGGCTGACAAAGACTATAGCTCAGACCAATCAGAGCCAACTATTGCTGATTGTATCGAGGCGATAAATTCCACTATTCAAACGGAGGGAAAGGTAAAGCGGAAAAAGGAAGAATAAAGTAGCAGAATTACAAATTTTGGAAAGACTTTGATGTGACTTATTAATAACTTGAAAGTTTTATAAGTGTCGTCCTAATAGTTCCTGTGCTGGTAATTGTTTCCATTGGGATACTGCACAATTCAAGCAAAACTGAAGTCACATTTAACCAAATCAGCTTTATAAAGTTTTTAAGCTTTTCGATAAGTTGAAATAAGCTAGATTAGTAGAGGGAGGCGAGAATTTAATATGCGTATGTTTATATGCATACATATGTACATGCATATTTGATCTGTACATAAAACGAGATACAAAAGATATTTGTAGAATATAAAACCAGCAATGTGATCTTATTTTAGACCCGCTTGTAATACAACAATATATGTATATAATAATGAAGGCCAAAACATGTTCCGTAGTACAAACAGTAAAATATTAATTAAAAACTCTAAAAGACAATAAATGTAATGTGAATTGAAATGAAAAGAATTTCGGACAATGATTGCCAATAATTGTCAAAAATAAAAATCAAAAAGGTTCCATTACATTACGCAAGCAAAAATTGGACTATTTTGTATTTGGTATATTAAATAAGAAGTTGCAAATGGAAAAAAAAAGTAGAATTTTGAATTGATCTATATGTGAATAAAAGTCTACGCATAACCGATAATCTCAATTTATAATAGTGGAGAAAATCAAGAATGTATTGTGCCATAAAAGCAGAAAGCTGAAATACAAAAATTGACTGTCAAATTAAATGAAATGTATGTGTTTGCATGTGGTTGGGACTGACCCATTACTCACCTTAGTGCGTGAGCACCTAAAACAAAATTCGATTCAAACATATACAGACATATAGGGGTTTTATATTTTTATACATTTATTAATCTTATCGGACCTCAAAATGATCGAATAATGGAAGAGAGTTGAGAGGGGATAAGGGACGGCGACAGTTAGAGCAACAGGTGCACATCGAACGGCATTAGATGGGTTCAATTGTACCAAGTTCCCATAAGCTGTTTTGGGACGCTAGAGCGAGCCAGCGAGCGACCTGTTATCATCCACAAAAGTACTACTCAGATATTGTTACCTTATCTCTTATGAGCGAGCAAGGCGTTATGACACCACACACCACCCTTAGTTGGTGCATGTGCACTAGTGGAACATTAATTATTAAAGAGATTCAGTTTATCTGCCTTACTCAAGCATATACTTGACCTAGTGTGCAATAGCAAGTTTGAATTACATCAGCTTGTAATTCATAAAAAAAACCGGTTAACAACCGCGGGTTTCTAGATCTAAACAATTAAATATGCAGGCCTTTGAGGTGGTGCAATGCAGTGCCTGCAATTTCCGCGAGTGCTTGTTTATAGTCACTTTCATTTAATAATCATATACATTATCATTTTGAGTTTAAAATTCAAATTCTATTTGTTACGACGTAAATTAATATTCTCGAAAACCATCTAGACCAGGCAAAGAGACCAAGAATTTATGTCATGACTCGAATCGTTATCATCAACAAATTTCTGTTTGATGAGTTGAGGTCATTAGTGATCTTTAGTTAATTGCACTTCTGTCAGGCTTTAAATACTTGCACGCATTTTGTAGCAATCAGCAAAAGACATCAGAAATTAGGGAAGCAGAGCTTGCATTTAAAATATGTTAAATCTAATTAATATTCCGATGGTTCGGCAAATGGCAAAAAAGGGCATGCGGTCAGAGAACTCAAAAATGAAACAATCGTGCATGATAAAATGGTATTCGAGCGGCGCTTCTTATTTATATTAATAAATCTTGTTTTCACATTAAAGTCTGCACTTAACCGTGAGTTCCTGTTATGGGAGTATTTCCAGTAGAAGTACCAAAATGAATAGTCCAGAAACCGTTAAAATGCTTACAGTGATTTCACTGTCAACTCTAAAAATTAGCATTTGGGCAAACAGTTGAAACAACGAGTTAGAATGTGGGATCACATGTTGCGGTTAAAGTCGGTCTAGCAGGTAGTTATAGTCGAGACAGTTTCGCGCAAATATTAGCAAAATCTGGATTAAAAATAGATCCATTGTTGATTGTTCTATTTAAAGCTACTACAAGTAACAACATTTAGCGCTGATTCTTCCATGTGTTTACGGCTTATTTTTCCTCCATCCGAAGATGATGATGATGACGATGATGACGATATCACATGGTGGTAGTCATAAACGTGAGATTTTATTTATCGTTATTGTTGTGGATTTTCTTGTTGCCATAGAAGTTACAATCAGTTTGTCGTTTGTATTAAAAATCATTAAGTAAAGGTTGTTAACTTATTAAATTTTAAACAGAATGTATTTATTTTGTTTCTTTTAAAATGCAACATACAAATAAAATGCAGTTGCAGATGAATATATACGCGTAAGATACATGCACATATACATCCACATATGTATGTATGTATGAACATAAACACAAACGCGAATATATGGAGAGCCAACAGCTGGCGTCGCTTAGCTAAAAACAACGCAAAAGCAAATTATTTGCATACTGACGCTAAATTGCACGCCAAGTCAAAACAGTCTGGGCAGGGGCTAGACAGCGGTGGGGACAGAATTGGCTCTGTGCATCGGAACGCACGAACCGTTGGCGCCCGCGAGCAATGCACAAGTGAGGTTCCTAAAATAAAACAAATGAGATTACTCTTACAGTCACTATCGACTCGTTACTACCCTATGCCACGAATCTGACCATTGAACCACTCGGTTTGTATAGCTTAAACTAGGTCGTTGAATTCACTCAAATTCTGTTAATCGATTTGGTTTAGCTTGAAATTAGTTTCTATCTAAAGTACATTATATGTATTTATTATGTGCATTACTAGCACTCTACATACAATATTCTGTACTTTAGGATCCGTTTAACGAGTGAAGGGTATAGAATGGACTTCGGCCAACAGAATGAGTCGTCCCTAACCAATTGTTGACCAAGTCAACCTCGAATTAGGGCATCTTCTGCTACGTACATTAGAGTTTACCATTATACGTATATGATATTCAAAAATATAAGTTACTACCTTACTGTAAGGCATCTATAGAAACTTATGATGACTAGGTTAGGGATGATAGGTCTACAAAGTAAACGTTTGTGCGAAATGTGATCCAGTAGCTATTGGGGTAAGAGATTTCAGCACTGCATCAGGAGGCACCTAGAGTAGAGTAAATAAAACCCATTTGGCTTAATTAACACATAGTGACCTGAAGTTAACTAACGATTTCTTTTCCTTGGGCGTATTTCAATTTGCAAAAGTTCAATTTTTGATTTGTACATGGCTGAGGCAGGCAAGGGCCCTGACAAAGCAGACGCCACCAGCTGACGGCTTGTCTACGCTTTCCGTCGCTTGTCGTCAGTTTTCTAGTGAAACGTGTGAATGATGGTTGGCGCCAATATCGATAATTTAAATGAACTACACTTCTAGAAAAGAACTAGGGGGAATTATAACAATAAAAGTAATAAGTAATAAGAAGCATGCTGCGCTTTACATGGGACACAATTTTTAATAATAATAGAATTAGAGACAAAGAGATAACGACATAACTTCAATACAATTGGCTGTGAATACATTTTTAATGGGATTGTAGCCAAGATACTTTTGTACTTTGAGACTATGTTCACTTTCATTCAGTTAACTAATCTTTTATATACGCATATGTATACTTTGCAAATTATATATTTATATTGGTATACATATGAAGCATTTATCAGAACGCACTGGCGTCCTTGCTTATGCCAACAACTTTACGAATTGCTAGCCATCAAACTGCTAAACAGTCACCGCCAGACCCAGACGACGCGAAGACTGCTAATTGTGCAAGGGCAACACCTGGCTGTCTTGTCCACTAGAACGTATACTGTGTAGATAAGTGCACCATGCCGGAGCCCTCAATCGCAACGTGGATTAAGAATCCATCCACACAGTGCAAAATGTATGTCCAGGCGAGTCACGAGATGATTATCATCGGCCATAATTTACACGTCTGCGCTGGTGCCAGCTGTGACCAGTTGCTATTGTCCGTGTCAGGCAGCTCCAAATGGACTCCTAGTTGCAGCGTAAAATATGTACATTCGCAGCCTATTGGCGCCTGGTTTCGGTGTGTCCACGCAATGTGTCGTAGCTTAAGTCAGGCCTCCGGTGTGTCTTCCCCCATGTGGTAATATGCGTATGAAATATAATTACATGTCATGAGAGCCCTAAGATTTTCTTTTTTTGTTTGATACTGTTGTTAACTTGACACACATAGGCTGGGTATACCTTGAGCAAATGGAATGCGATCTGAGACTAAGAATAGCGGATAAAAATTGATGTGCAAAGTAAACAGCATTAAATCAATAAAACAATGTTGTCGTACTTAAATCTTTGCGATTTTTGTTTTATTGTAAACAGGAATCTAAAGTTATTCTGTTCTAATTGAATCTTTTCAACTTAAAGATACCCAATAGACTCAATATTATAATAATATTATGTTTACTATAGAGAGATATATATTTTAGAAAACCATCCACACATCATAGTCCGTACTATTAGGTCTTCATATGCTATACTCACATTGAATATAACCTTATCAAATTTAGTAAAGGGTATAAGAGAAGGAGCACGTGATACAGAAAAGCAGAGAAACATCAACTAGTTGCTGGCGGCGAAACGCCGAAAAAGGATGCGAGTGATGTGCCCAACTACCATATAAAAATATGCAATCAGAAGAGTGAAAGATTGATCTCGAACGATATTCCGAGAAACCGGGAGCTCAAGCACCAGTCGACGCTGTCGGTCCCTTCGACCCACACACACATGAATTTGGAACCTTGCAGGATCAGACTTCCAGTTTGCGGCAGAGAACGAGTTTCAGACCGCGTTGTGAATTTATCGCTTACACAAAAAGGCAGCTTCAACAGCATCAGCACCAGCACCACCATCAGCAGCAGTAGCTTATGTTTGCTTCTAGAAGCGGCACGCTTTTATACTGTTTTAATGTTGGTGGATCGAAGCACCAGAAAACAAGTAAGGTGACTATCAAACTGCAGAGGACCTTTCGACCGTTGGATACTCTGTTCTAACTATTCTGTCTCAGTCTACATAGTCAGTTTATCATTAAATTATTAGTAAATTTTATATAAAGCACTTCTATCCACTCATGAAGAACATGAAAACGCTTTGCTCTAAAGTGAGAGACAGCAAATCTGATTTATGAGTGACAGTCCGACATGACTCTCAATTATATTATATTTTTCTCAGTTTATTAACCTACTACACTTTAATAATATTCTGGCCAAAATAAAGATTATAAAACACAAAACCTTATAGTCTAATTGTGAAACACTTTTGGTGGTTGTTAAATAGTCACCTCGATAAATCTATTCTCTAGTTAACATAAATCATATTTTTGGTCCCAAACCAAGAATTCTTTGGTGGATATAGTTATCTGTACTTTGTGTCTCATTATGATAGTTCGGTACAGAGATTATCTTTTTGACTGAATATTTACATGTATTCATGTAAATATTAAAATGCAGAGGATTAGCCTGCTATTTGTACTACTATTCAATGACTTACTTAGGTCAGCCATGTCACATAGGTCCTTGGACATATTGGCAGTGCTTCAAATCCACTCAGTATGATTAAAGCAACGGACAACGTTGAGTCCAGAGGAAAAGCAGGCACTCGCAAGCCAAGACACAAAAAGTACCTCCAAAATGGGTATAGCTGTTGCTTCTTTCTCAAATATCTGCGCGCCTATGCCGCAAACAGTATTCAATGTTTATTATACCCTGAACCCATTTTCAATGGGAAATCAGGGTATAATGGTTTTGTTGAAATGTATGTAACAGGGAGAAGGAGGCGTGGCAGACCCCACAAAGTATATACATTCTTGATCAGGGCGACGAGCTGAGTTGATTTGGCCCTGTCCGTCTGTCTGTCCGTCTGTCCGTCTGTCCGTCCGTCCGTCTGTCCGTCTGTCCGTCTGTCCGTATGTATGAACGCGTCGATTTCAGAAGGTATAAGAGCTAGAGACTTCAAATTTTTTTTAAAATGTCCGTAATTACAGCGCGCATATCAAGTTTATCATTAAAAATCGATAACTCATCTCGATCTTTTTTTATCGATAAAAAACCTTATCGAAACCCAGTTATAAAATTATATCTTCTACACCTTTATTGCTAGAGTCTCCAAATTTTTAATGTATGCTTATATGCAATTTATACAATTTCGGTTTTTGTTAAAATTTACCCCCCACCTCTAAATTCACCCCCTCACCCTCACTTTTGTAAAAAGCGTATTTCAAATACTAGAGACTTGTGCTTTGGCAATTACATGCATATTCATGTTATAATCATAATCTAAAAGTTTCATGAAGATCTTATGTCCATAAAAAAAGTTATTTAACAATTAAGTTCTCATAGTAAGCGCACACTGCAGCCCATGCGTGTTTATGCGTGGTTGCTTGTGTGTGTATGTGTTTGTGTATGTGTGTGTGTATGTGTGTGGGTGGGTATGGGTTTGTGTATGTATGCGTGTGTGTGTGTATGTGTGTCTGTATGCGTGTGTGTGTATGTATGCCTGTGTTTGCGTATGTGTGTGTGTGTGTGTGTGTGCGTGTTTCTTGTGTAAGCTGAAAGTCGCGAAAAAGTATTGAAATATCTATTGCTCCAAGGGTTCAGGGGATCTCGTAGTCGAGCAGTCTCGACTAGAGCTTTCTTACTTGTTTTTATTTTTATTTTATTTTATTTTATTTTTTTTTTTTGTAATTTGGTCGGAGAGCGGCTATTATTTAAGACTGTGATGTTGCGTTATATGGGAAACAAGTCGCATTCCGTTGACCATTTCAAACAATTGACAGAAGCATCTGCTGCTGCAGTGGCAAAGAGCGTCAATTGAGGTTTTATTTAGAATCTTTCCCGAGCTTCCCATGCCGCGCTGTCTTGTTCCGCGCTTCAGTGAGACGGACGAGCACAGATGGAATATTGATAAGATACATGCTGCAAATATTGGTAACACCGACTGACTTTCGTATCTGTCTGGCTAGTCGCTGGTTATTTAATCACAATGTCGACTCCAACGCTTACTCGAATTAATTGGGTTGCATTAATGCACCCCATTTGAAACTCTTCTATCAGTTATTAGCATTTTTCCCAACACCTACGAAAATTGTACCGTTTCCGCAACGCTAAAAAGAATCATAATAGATTCATTAAGTGAGTCATCACAAATGCAGCTAATAATGCCATCAATGGTGACAAATTACTGGGATGACTAAGTTATGCGTAAAATGCGAAATCGGATCAGCAACAGTTATCAGACGGCGTCGTGGACCATTTTGTTCAGAAGTTGAAAAAAATATATGAAATTAATAATTAATATGATCATAAAAAAAAAAAAAAAAAAAAAAAAAAAAAAAAAAAAAAACAACGCCTCTTCAGCTACTGGAGAGCCAATACTTGGAAGGCGAAACATGCATTAATTGAAAGAAGATCGGGTCGATCATCAAAGGATACTTACATAGGAAGCATTTTGGCATTTATTTTTTTTGGCGCGACGACATTTTAATTGCAGAGGAAGCGGTAAAGCGAACATTTTTCGACCGCCGCTAACCATGAACGCATAATTAATTCTGAATTTGATTAATTACAAAAAATTGGAGCCGTCAGCAAACCTACCTGTCGACCGAGCCGCTGTCAATCGAGGCGCATTCGCTCGATGCACTCGGTATTGAGAATATTAAAATGTATCAGTTATACAAAAAGTGGAAGCTATGTGATCCTTAACGTATCGAAGCCATATTAGCAATGTAATCAAATCTTTCATCGAATGTACTTTACGCGCGGCAATTATGAATATTAGTCAAGCTAGGGAAGAGAGCAGGAAATAGATAACTTATATGGTATACATGGCAACAAGATATAGTATCTTTGATGCATATTCAACCACGCCGAAAACAATCAGTCAGTTGCATCCAGTAGCTGGACTGACAATGATCCACTTCATTACCAAAACAGATAAAAAATGCGTTGCACGTTCGAACTTGAACCATAAATAATATTAAGTTTTTTTTTTGCGCTATATCAAACAGACTTCCTTTGGTAACCTTGGGAAATATTTGCCGTCTTCTGCGACGTTTTGGGACTGCTCATTGTGATACCGCTTTTTGCTGCAAATGCCTAAACAATGTCAACTGTCTTGCTCAACACATGCAGACATAAACGTCAGTTGAGCGCAGCGGGCCCACAGACACAGCAGCGAAAACTGGCAGGAGGCGTCCTTAATCGATTATCATTTTTAATAATCAATTGAAGAATACCTCTACGACAGTCCACCTGCGTTCTTATTATGGGCTGCGGTCGACTTGACAGCACGTAGACATTTATGAGTAGAAGCGCCCTGCAGTTGAACCAGACCTGCTTAAAGTGCGCGGTGCCATTTACCATTTGCCATTTGCTAGTTGCCATTTTAATTGCAGAAATGCTGTAGTAGGAATGTTTGCTAAAGATGAAATTATAAATTGCGTCTGCCATCTATTCGCTACACCAGGTGGGTAACTCAAAAACCAAAGAATCAACAGCCATACGAACAATTTTACTATTGAACAATATTGAACTCTACAATAAAACTTGAATTTCTTTCAGCTGACGATAATAATTTTAATTTATAGTTTTAGTTAAGGCATACTACTTTTTGTTAGGCATGCATCCTTTTGTATAATCTTGTACTTATTTCGCTTTGGTAGCCGAGCTGAGAATCGCACGTTCTGTAGGTAAATCAATTAGTCGATTAAAAATTAATATAAAATATATATATGTACGTACGGCGGACCCGCCCCGGAAGCGTGCCGACCTCGGTGACAACATTCCAGAGCTTCACGTCACCTCTGATGTTAACCATATCAATATCAGCGGGATTCATCTGATGCTTGAAAGTCAGAATCGAGTGCCCGTTGACAAATAGTTCATAGCAGTTCTTCCGACAGGCGATTATAAGAACAAATGCTTTTCCCGGTCCCAAATATGTGTGGAGACGTGAGATTTCACGATTTACCTCTTTACCGTTTATATAGGCGCTCCTTGTTATTATGGCCTTCCCCACCTTGGTGCGACTGCTCCGTAGGAAATTAGGACTAAATAGCAATGATATGGTTGGGTGTGGCCAAATGTTCTGCCCGCACTGTAAGGTTACACAAAAACTTTGTGGCATTAGTCGAACGCGACCTTCGATGCGCATCATACGACCATCAATTAGTTTTTCATCATCTAGCATTCGCCCGTAGAATGGTATGATCAAAGCTTTAGCAATAGGACGATCGACTAATTGAGCTGGAGTTTTAATTATTTGTAACTTATTCGGCTTTTTTTGACTGCTCTGAAGCAAAAGTTCTCTTGAAAAATCATTGATAAATGGCAAATCGTTCGGCAAACTACGGCTAACGCGAATTGGATATTCCGTAACATGGAAGATGTCTATGACAATGTCAGAGACATCTCCGCGCACATCAACTCCGCTTATCCACTTATAAGGCATTCGGTAATTATACGTCGCGAAATGAAAGCCATTTACCGAAATGAAAAACGAGCAGTCTGTCAGCAGCACCTGCATCCAAAAAGTTTTACCACGTTTGAGTTGAAAAGGTAAATTTGAGGAGTTTTCTTCTGGGCCCCACTTGCCCATTATCCGCGAGTTTCGTATGATATAGTTCTGTGGAAGGCGTGCTCCGATCTGTAAGATAATGTCGCGCCTTTCACATTTCAAGTTTTTTGGCTTTGCCAAAAAATCAATCACAAAGTGCTCGCAATCAAGAAGAATTAATCCATGAATGAGGAAACTTAGTCCAGGACAAGCTGTCTTACTCAGCTTAAACTGTTTCTTAAGATTAGCAGCGCTTCGTTCTTCGTAGAATATGGACAAAGCATCCAAATCTCGCCTCAAGGCAATACTGCGAGCGCCGCTGTATACATTCATGGCTTTCCAGCCCCCTATGGATTTTACACATACTCAAATATTGGCATTTCCAAAAGTCGTCAATTGGTTGTCTCTCAATGTTTAACCGAAACAATGTAGACTTATATCCTGTAATAGAGTTTGGAACAACTAATCAAGCAATAATTTAACTGAATTTTGTTGTATATTTGCGAAATGACTGAATATTTTCTGTATTGCTATACAGATGATGTTTTGATTGAAAGTGTCATTAAAAAGATTGCATGATTAACAACACTGGAGAGTTGTTTAAAATCCATAAATTCTTACAGTATGAGACGATTTTTTTGTGGTCTAACCTTGAAATTAAAATAAATAATATATATACTTTTTTAAATAAAAGTGATTTAAGATACGTGATGTTGAAAATTTCCTTAACTGAACGTAATCATTAGTTTTTATATCGTCTACTTATCGATAATAGCCGATAAAAATAATATAACTTTAATGCTTTATTTAACCACATCACATTAGCGAAAAATTTTACTGTTATTTAAATATTTGATATGAGAAGAAAACAATTGATTTAATAATTAGAACCAACATTCTTAAAATTTATTTATTTCTTAAATGAATGTTTCGTGAACTTCTAAAAGCAGATTATAACATATTTATATCAACAATCTATAACAAAAGCACCAATGCATAATTTTAATCGAAGGCAATGACTGCCGATCGACGGATCGCTTCCTTCTATTAGACCACGTTTCTAGCAACATATAGCAAGATGCTTTTAGACAAACATTTGTTTATACATATAGAAAAATTTAAATCGAAAGCAAATTATTGTCTTTAAAGGCAACTGGTTTATACTTAAGCTTATAACACGAAAACAGGAAGAGAACGACCTAAAGTCTTATCTAATACTCTTCTAAAGGTAAAGGATTATGATAGATGCGCACATTTTTCCCCCTAATAAATGGATTGACTTCTAGTGTCACATTCCAGAGCTTTACGTCACCCTGTATGTATACCGTATCAACAATATCTGGTTGAATTCGATATTTAAATTCAGTAAGGAACTGTCGGTTAACATAGACTTCAAACGAATTCGCGGAACAAGCAATGACCAAGCTAAATGTACGACCCGGACTAAAATTCGTGTCCAGTTCAGAGCGTTCCTCTTCGGCCCAAGATCCATTATACCAAGCGTTACGACAGACGATAGCTTTTCCTATAGCACCAGTGCTTGTTTGTGAGAAGCGTGGATTCAAATGGAATGCAATAATGGGATGTGGCCAAATATTTTGACCTTGTTGCAAATTTATGTAAAATGAATGTGGTAATAGGCGAACACGACCATCAATCCTTAAGCACCGCCCTTCTCGCAATGATTTTGGTAAAAATGTCCCATAGTATGGAAGCGTAAGCCCTTGATCAGTAGAATGACACTTAAATGAATTGTTTGCAAGTTTTGCACTGGGTGCACTGATGAGGCACCATTCATGAGGTATATTAATAACCTCCTCGACATTGGCATCAACCTCGTCCGCCTCTGTAGAAAGGTGAGCTTCTATGATCCGTACCGCTGATTCTTTTAAGCGTTGCGGGTAAGCCTGAACCACGGTACGCTCCATTTTCACGTCTTCCACGTCGCCTTTCACATCCAGAATTTTAACACCACTCAAAGGAAGGCGGTGGGCATATTCAGCAAAATGATTGCCATTGATCGATATCATATAGCATGCATCCGTAATAAGCACTTGTATTGCAAACCTATCCCCGCGACGTAGTAAAAACGGTAACGCCGAGGACACTTCCTCACGGCCCCAGACGTCGCGGACTTTGGTGTTACGCACAATGTAGTTCTGAGGAAGACGGGGATTAATGTGCAAGGCAACATCCCGTGTCGCATTATCGTATATAAAGTTAATGGAAAACCTGAGGATAAGTATAAATTTAGTGAACAATACATCTGTGATTTGTAATCAATTACTCACCTCTCGCAGTGAATTGAAATTTTTCCACTAAAGGTGAAGCTAACGCCTTCATAGAGTTCGCCAACATCATCGGTATAAAATTTGGGCAGTGCATCAGAGTATTCATAAAAGGAAGCCTAAAGTGAATAATGCTATTATTATGTGCTTCCATTTTGAAATTATTTACATTACGACAATGTCTATCTCTTCACTTTTACTATCAAAATTTAAAATATCAAAAATTGATAACATAGACATTTCTCAAACCCAATGTGCAACAAATAAAGACAGCCTACTCTGACTTCCCTGGCATAAACCAAATACCTACTAGTGAGTAGTAACACTGAAGAAAGTCAAGATCGTTTAAACATCTGGTTTCAGAACAGTTTGCATTATTATATTATATTATGTATACAATATGCATTTATTGCAATTAAATTGAGGATTATATTGAACTTTATCTGCCCTGAATTCATTGTACTCCTTGAATTTAAATAATATAAATATAAATAAGTACTTATGTGCATACGTTTATCATGCTTTTTATTATTATTTAAAAACAATCGATGTCACTAATATATAGTATATAGGAAGAGTCGCGCTTACCTCATTATAACCACCCTTACTATATAGATGACAAGAACTAAAAAGTTTTCTGCACAATGTCTTTAAGCACATCTCATAAATGTTTAATCACAGCAACAAGTGTAATTGGTTTTGCGGATTTAATGATGTAAAAATATACGCATGTATGTATGTATATGCAGGGGTTTTGCCGTTATAAGTAACAAGACATATGTATATACATATGTATATAAAAGTAAAAGCAACTTTGTGCACTATAGATTCTTATTAAAATAAATACATAAATATTATCACAGTTAATAATAACTTTCTAAATAAGCTAGAAAAATTCCACTTTATTGAGTTATTTGTCTGACTCTTCATTATTCACTACTGCCGCAATTGTTTTTACTTATTTTGATGTGACATTTGGTTGTGTCGCCCAAAACAGGAGAGACTTAAAGCTAAAGCGCAATGTTGAAAAGCTTATATACACATACATACATATCTAAATACTTATTCCATATTTGTATGTATGTATATGTATGTATATGTATGTTGTCTGTTGTACCATTGGACGCTAATATAATATAATGTATGTATATATGAACTTAAACAATAACACATTATCGAAAGTGATGATGTCTGGCAAAATAATACATAAACATTTGTATATACATATTTCAAAACTTACACTTAAAGTATATATATAAATAAATAATGAGAGCAAGGCACGGTGCGACTATTGTGTGGCCCACGACTGTGGATAACAGCTGAGCGAAAGCTCGAAAGCTTCTCGTCGTTGTGAGTAACAGAATAAGTGAAGGAGAGCCCGCTAAATGTCAAATAGACGAACAAACAACAAGAGCTGCGCTCATCGACAGACAACGCAGGCATGCCTGATATACATACACTTTACATTAACTTTAAATTTAACTAATACGTAATTGAAGGCATTTACAGATCTAAACGTAGTCCGTATATAAATGCATACATAAGCATGCACGTACTTCATCATATCAACGAAATAATTCATATATTAAAAGCTTACGTTGTCTTTACGTACATTAAAATCCATACCATTCACAATTTCGATATCATTGCACCATTCCATTTGCTGGTGGTCAAAGTTTTCAAAGGGCTGGTAGCTTGCGCTCGCTTCAACAGCTGCAAAGTCTATTTGCGTTCCCGTAGCATGTTGCATGCTTTCAATTTCGCTATTGCCTGGTGGGCTTTTGCACTGATACAACCAGTGTTCTCGACAGTAAAACCAAAAGGAACGCAGACGGCGTTTGGTATGGTAATATTGTAAACTTCGCACGAAATTGAAATGATTGTGCCAAAATGCATCCGACAGATCGCAGAGTTCGCGTATCAACAACGTGATTGCAGTCATACTAACCGGTTGACAGAAAGCGTCACACAATTTCTCGTTTCTGAGATGCTTGGAGCTATTGCTCTCAATGTGGTCTCTCACTCTCTTTGCTCTCTATCCGCTTGCTCTCACCATACAGTTCTTTTGTGTAATCATGTGTATTGATTATATATAGCTGTATATACAACGCATACACACACCTTGACACATACACAGTTTGTCGAAGTGTGTGTCTCTCTCTATATCTTTCGCTCTTTTCTATTGAGCACGAAAAATATGTGCCAGAAGCTTTTTTGCCTGTTCTTGATGAAAAAGTGGTCAGCTATCCACCAAGGTGCAACCACTTCGCGTTTAAATTATCGACTGTTTTGTACTAAAGGTTTGATATACATTCACAGGTAGTAGTTCTTTGATAACGCCTACGCATGGATTTAACAAATCAAAGATAGGGACATTTCAACTATTGATAGAGCTATAAAAAAACCCCTTCTAATGGTTGCGGTAATAAAGAAGATTGCACTAAAATATGTAGATATGTGTACTTACATCGTTACTGTTTGCATTAAAAAAGTTTTCCTCATCGCTACTGCCTGGCTCCACTTCATGTTTCCGTTTTTCACAGCAGCAGCTCATTGAGCTAAAGACTACTATTTCCCTTAGAAATACAAAATTTAATAATACGCTTTGCAACGGACCTGAGTACACGTAGTAATGTGATAAGTAGTAAGTAGTAAGTAGCGTTACCAGCTATCCGTAAACACAAAATGCAAAAATAGAATCTGCACACAAAATTGATTTTCTGTCGTTTCTACAACCGTTGCAAGTCGCGAAAAATGACCAACTAATTTTTTTTTGCTTATAATTTACTTTGTATATGGTTGTTATATACACACATATCTAAATTTGTTCAGACGCTCGGGTGATTCAGACAGATCGCACCCAAGCAGTATTTTATCTTTATTATTGTTTTGCCGTATCACCTCAGCTATAGAGGAAAATTCAGGCAGAACTTGCACACCAACTGATAAACATTTACTGAAAAATTAGATATATAAGACTATTAAAATTAAAAAAAAAATAAAATTAAAGGATTGTCGTTGATTGTACTTACATTAATTTTTTGTATCTAATAAAAATGTACACAAATAATTTAAATATTTCCCTTCATATTTGAAGGTTGAACGTTTCAAAATTGAGTCAATATGTAATTCATTAAAATTCAAGTTCTCGCTGTCTTTCGCTAATTGATATTTTTATACCCTGAACCCATTGAAAATGGGAAATCAGGGTATAATGGTTTTGTGAAAAGTATGTAACAGGCAGAAGGAGGCGTGGCAGACCCCTTAAAGTATATATATTCTTGATCAGGACGACGAGCTGAGTCGATATAGCCCTGTCCGTCCGTCCCTCCGTCCGTCCGTCCGTATGAGCCGTCCGTATTTGGATACCACGCCCCCTTCGCCCCCAATTTTAAAAAAACGCATTTCAAGTACTAGAGACTTGTGCTTTGGAATGTACACACATTTTAACCATATGATTACGCTCTAAAAGTTTCATTAAGATCGTGTGTCTACAAAAGAAATTATTCAACAAATAAATTCTCATAATATTGCCCACATTGCAGCGCAGCCTAAGCGCTGTCGCTGCTTACTGCGCAGCTAGCAGAGCGCGTGCTTATAAGTGCATGTGTATGTATGTGTGCATAAAAAAAGTCCAGAATGATTAGAATATCAGCTTGGAGGAGGGTTCAGGGTATCTCCTAGTCGAGCAGTCTCGACTGGAGCCTTCTTACTTATTAAATATTCAATTTACAAAGGATATTTAGCAAACAAATTGGTTAAAATTAATAAGCCCAAGAAAATAAATACGGCTTTTATATAACTTGGGTGTCGATAAGGACAATTAATATATTTATCTTTTGTTGAATAATAGTTAAACTATTTATAAATAAAGTACGTATATACTGTGTACAGTGCGTCTTAATAAAATATTAAAAGTGTAACAAGTTCTGAGCATATTTTATATGTCAGACAAAGCCCGATTAGTTTACAATTTAAGCTTAGGCTGAACAACCTAACGTTGCCTGGCTGAACGCCTTCCCATAGCATGTTGCGACTTCGCATTCGACAGCGGTTTGTCAACGCTTGGAGACTTATAATACTTTGACATCGTTTTGCTAGTGCGCGTAGGACGATTAATATGCTCCGGGCTTTTTTCAGGGTCTGTTTTCAAAGGCAAATCATCATCTTCATCCCATCGCTCTCTTTTCTTTTCTTCACTGCCGCAGTCATCGTCATGAACATCGGTTTTCGACTTATTACGATTTCTTCGATTGCGTGACGATGATGAACTTACATCAGGTCGATCCGATTTCTCACTAAAATTATACTAATATTAGTCAAGAATTAAAATGGGCGCAATGAGTGTACTTACTCTTTGAACGATAATCTGTTTTTATCTGCGTTCTTTGTTTTGCGTTTTAATAGTTCTAATTCGCGTTCTGCAATTGCCTTTTTGTGCTCCTCAGAAGATTCACAAGTAACTAATTTAGTAGTTGAATCCGCCATCTGTTTTACGGGCTCCTCTTGTTTAACGCGCTTTAATTGTTGCTGCTGTTCCTGAGCCTGTTTTAGTGACCGCTTTAGTGCACTGCGCAACGTGTCACGAGCACTTTCTGTGAAAGCATCCTTTCCAGGCTGTGGTAAACCTATAGCTTCTAGAAGTTTTTGCCCGAGAGCTGACTTAACATTCGTTTTACGTACGCTTGCCGTTGGATTGTTAGGCTTGCTTTTGGTGGCAAGGTTGGTCTCTATCTCCTCACCGGTACTTTCAACTGCAATGTTAGTGATACTACTGGAAATAACTTCTGGTACTGTACTGGTTGGTGCTTGTGGAGTTTCCACTAAGTTATCGACAGTAGAAATTTCAACGATTTTAGAAGGATCGCTAGTACAAATGATCTCATCTGTGCTCTTGTCTTGTTTGAGCTCAGTCTTAGAATTATTTTCATCTGCTTTCGGCATTGAAATCTCTGCTCTATTTGCTGTTTTTGTAACAGCCTTGCGGCGCTTAATGATCGGCCGTGTTATCGGAGAAGGGTTAGATATTTCTTGAGGTGGTATTGTGAACGTTGAAACATCTCTATCAGGCGCTAAGGGATTATCAAGTAATGGTTCGGGCTCAACGAGAACAATATCTTCTAAATTTATTGCATTGCTCGTCGTTGAAGAACTGCGTTTCCGGTGTAATGAGCGCTGAATTTTCGAGTCCTGCTGCTGTTTTAGCATGGAAGTTAGCGCTTCGTTAAGAACATCAGCTGGACTTGTGTTAAATTGTGACAGTAACATGGCGTTAATGTTGAGCAATTCATTTGCAACTAGTGTCGCGTTTGATGTCGTTGCTATGTCCTCAGTGCTCGGCGGTTCGTTAACACTTAAATCATGCAAACGTGATTTTCGCTGTGAGCATTTCGAATCCACGGGCTTATTTGTTAGTGGCTGAGGGTGCGCTTCATCCGTCGGACTAGACGGCACCAATTGTACCGAAGTCTCGGGTGGTAACTTATACGGCATTGTACACTCCCCTATCGTCTGCAGCTCAGCGGTTGCTGATGGACTTGCAAGTGGAGAAGGAGTCTTATTCGAATTGCAGGACGGATTGTTGTGCTGTTGCTGGACAATAGCCATCATTGGAGCAAGATAAGGACCCAGTAGCTGTGTTAGATCATTATCTTGAAGAAGGTTACTATCCGACATAATTACTGCAAATTTTGAATTTTTTAATTTTGCCATTTGCTCGTCACAATTGCCAGCTGTGACCGGCCATTTAAGCGCCTTAAGTATTAGTTTCAGAAGGTCTGGATCTCGAATGACATTGCCAAGGGAAATGGCATCGGTTAGGGTGCTCATGCTGGGTAGCGCTTTAGATTTGTTAACTGGTGTTTTTTCTGCTATTAAACTGACATCGTGAGGTGCCCGAACATTTTTTGCGTGTGATGCTCCAATTTTTTGTAATTTCGGTGGACTTTTGAGGGGCAAAGTGGTAGGCTCTTCCTTTTTCTTTTTAGGAGCAGCTATAATGATATGCTCAGGAAGCGCTTCCTCTACAGAAGGTTCAACTCCATACAACGACTGGTGTGGCACTACCGTGGTCGTAACGAGTGGCCTAATATCAATATCTTCTAAAGTCTGGCGTTGGTGAGATGGTTTTAATAGAGATACCTGGCCGTCGCGTATGGCACTGATGTTGTTGAGAGCATTTTTAAGATTACGTTGCTTTTGTTGAATTACACTCTTGGGCAAATTGGGTACGCCTGCAATGCAAACTTTTTGTGTAGCGGAAGTAGGCACTTGATGTTTTTTAGCATGAGTAGATATACTACTTCCGGCAGTGTATCCTTTATTAACTTCAGTAGTAGTGATTGTAGGTGCACTACCTGTGATGCGGCCATGGGTCTGAATAAAATTGATAACACCTGCTGGAGAATGCCGTTTTTCAGGACTATGTGACTTTGTGACTTTGGAAAGCGCCACCTCCGGATGTATTGGTGCTAGAGAGGGCGGCAGTTGCATTGAACGCTGAGCTATTGACATCGGTGCTGAACTGTAACGTGAATCCCCAAAAACGCTATTACGCCGAGTCGGCTGGGTTAGATTATTCATTTTAACATTACTGCGGCTGTGGGTGTATTCAGGCGCATCGCTTTGTCGCTTTTGCTGATGGCGCTGATGAATCTCACTGTCTTTATTAGTCAAACTGATTACAACATCGTCATGTTTATCGCTCCCAATCCGGTGATGTGAGCCAGAAGGAAAAGTCTGGTCCGAAGGACGCGATAGCAATATTGGATGAAATGTATTATTATCCTCGCAGCTGAAATTGCGTTTAATATTGGATTCATTCTGGATGGATTCATTGATCTCCTGCGCAGGTGTAGTCGGCATTAATGACTCGTTAACAAGTGCTGCTGTCGCTTGGCGCGATTGCTTAGGCTATAAAGGAGGGTTAGATATTATTTTTGTTCAGAAAAAATAATAAATACATTTGCAAATACCACTGTGCTTAGCAGAAAGTCTCGAAATACACGCTGTGTGTGCTTGGCTATATTAGAAAGTGAGGCAGTAGCTTCCACCTGTCGATAACAAGATTTGCAAAGTACTTTAGGTAGGGGATCATTTTCGGCAACCTGTAAATAAAAGTTTCAATAACATTATAAATATGGGTAAAATTTAATTTGGTTTAGCAAATGTACACAAGCCATTTTATTGTTTATGTCATTCCCGCATGAATTTATTTTCCATAAATACATTTAAGCACGCTGTACTACATATGTATACATATATATACAATATGAGAGAAGAAATCATGCATGCAGGAGGTAAGCTCACGCAGCTCGTTTTTGTCTTTCAGTATTTTGAAATTACTCTTTATTATACACACATGCACAAGAGCGCATACGCACACACACACACAAACATACACACGCATGTATTTCAAAGTCCGCGCACACACTAACTCTAGCTATTGCTAAACGAGATTTTTTGCTGTGTGCTGTTTCTCACTGTTTGCTATAAAATTTTTCTTTGCCTACTTTACCCAACCGACATTTTCGCCCACACGTAAATACAAGCAAATAGTATAATGGTATACATGTACACATACATAATACATATATATTTTCATTTAATATATATTTTTGTATTTGTATTTGTATAAATATAGAAATTTGTTAAATAATTTCATTTTGTATGTTGTGCTTATGGAAATTTACATATACATGAATTATACATATTTTTTTTTTATGAATATTCATGTTAAGATTCTTAAACTTTTTTTTTACTTACGTTGAGGAAGATATGACGTGCTATTTTATCCTTCAGGCCAGTTGTTTTGAAAATAAAAACACTTTCGACAACAGAATTGGTTTTACATTTTGTGTTTGCTGCACAAATGCGACACAAGTGCTCAAATTGTGCATCCATATTAGAAGCCGCGATATCTCGTGTTAAGAGCTTACAAGTATATGAATAGGTATGTTTGTATTTTTTTAAGAGCACATTTAATTGGAAGCCGTTATTCCTGGCATGCTGAAAGATATCCACTTTAAGCCTTTTTTGTATATGAATACATATGCACTCTATTTAGCACCATACCTGTAAGAAAGTCTTAACAGATTCAAACTAGAATCAGGCTATCAGGCAATAATAGACTCATGTACATATGTATGAATATGTACATGCATACACATTTATTTTTAGCTGCACTTTGTTTTACGAAACACTGCAAATTTGTCAAACTTATTTCACTGCACCCGATTTACGCGCTGCTCGCCTCACACGCGCTTCGTTGTCATCAATTTGCACACATTCACAGTTACGCCAATACGACCACTACTATAATGTGGCTTGCCTTGTTTACTATATTATTTTTTATTTTTATTTTTGTGGTATTATTACAGTTTCGTGAAAGTCGCGAGCGTATGAGAGAGAAGAAAGAGAGAGCGCGTGTGCAAAATATAGCAAAATATAACACTAATCATAGCATTTTCAGTGAGCATGTGAAACGACCGATGATCAAAAGAGAGTATTCGAGAGAGAGAGAGAGAGAAGAGTAATTTTTTTATTCTTCTTCTTTGTCAGCATGCAGACGCTTACAGTTTTGATTAATATTGCGCCTTTTTGTGTGTAAAATGTAATTAGTTGGATTAAATATTATATTTTTTTAAATATATTAACAGGTTGTGTTAGTTCACCAGTCCTTTTAAATACAGAGCGTCGTAGTCTCACCAACACTTGCGCTTCGACGAGCGAACGAAAAGAAACTGAAAGAAAAATGAAAAAAACATATACATATACTCTACGACGGCTTGTCACACATACACTCTTACACTGCAATTTCACGTTGTTTTTGTTGTGCACGCTTTGCGTGTTGAGTCGCTGACTGTATGCGTGCGTGTCTGGCTGTTGTTTTTATTACACACACACAACGCTATTTTATTTTGTGTTGTTCGTCGCATTCATGATATTTTGTTGTTGTAGTTGTATGGGTGAGTATCTGTGTTGCAGACATTTTGATGGCGTTTAGCCAGTTTTCCGCTGTCTGTGGAACTGTGTTGATTTTTTTTCTGTATATGTACATATATGTATGTGTATATGTTCGGATACATAATATATACACACACACGCATTTATTATAAATATATAATATATGTGCGTGTATATGTACATATGTATATGTTTTCTCCGCTGTTTTAGCATTTTAGTAGGGCTTTTATTTTCATAATAAAACTTGTTCTCAATCGTACATTTTATTTCGCTTTGCATTCTCTTCCGTACACCATTCGCTATCACCGCGTGTGTGTAGCACACACACATACACACATTGTGTATCAACACGCTTGGATGAATGTGTGTGTGATCATTATTTTCTGTTTTACTTCGTATTTCTGTTTCTTTTGTATTTACCTCACTAACACTCGCAAGCAGTTTTGAATAAACTACCACATATGTATGAAAATTATTTATTTTTTGTAGCATTCCTTCACTTTTTTTATTTATTTTTTTTTGCAACATTCTTTTTGAGTTATTTGAATTGCAACTACGAATGTAAATACATATATATTGACGAGGAGTATATACAAAAATATAATTGTAAATACATATAAAAATTTTACAAATTAGAAAGTAAGCGCATAGGTATGTACATATACATACATATACATTTGCTTATGTGCAAGCAATGTAGCATTTTACACATATACATATGTAAACATATAAATGTATAATAATAATAATATTTAATTCCTAATATATGCATATGTAAATATATATATGTATAATTATATATGTACTTGTGTCCTTAGTTTTCATAGTGATAATTTAGGGATTAATCAAGCGGTTAATTTTAAAATTTTAATTTTAAAATTTGAGATGGTGTGTGCATGTCGGAGTGGTCATGCATATGTATAATAGAGCATGTTGTGCATCTAGTAAAAAAATTTGAGAGTACAGAAAAGCATACATACATACCTGTATATACATAAATTGTGAATAAGCATTGATACATATGCATACCTACATATAATATAAATATAATGCACATATATACATGCATATATACTTGAGGGCTTACTTAAAAGAAGAGTATGCCTAGCTGCCATCTTTTAAAAAAATACTCATACAAATAAGACTTCATTTACATGCATATACATCCCAAAGTATGCAATAGAAGGTGTATAGGAATTTTAGTTTTTCTTATTTTGCAAATCGCGTTTTATAACTAGATTATCAATAAATCAAACAACATTTTTCTGTTTTTAATTGCTGGTAAATCAGCATGACAGAAATCTCGAAACGCTTGACTTTATCCGACCACTTCAGAAGCTAACAAACAATTTCATTCAGGTTTAACACATGTCGCATGAAAGTATGCAATAACTTAATACAATAAATTCCTTTCTATTATTATTTTTATTTTTATTTTACTTAAACAGGCTTTTTACTACCTAATTAACAGCTTAACAAGTTGAACATAAAGACACAATTATTTACAGTACAGAAATTTCATAACAATAACAATTTACAAAAACATCAACAAACAATAACAATTTTTAAGTAAATCACATTCAATTTTACTTGATACATTTTTATAGGAACCTCGCAGGGAGGTCCTGTGGATGGCACTTCTTGAGAATAAATTCCTGGAAAATAATTTTACCTAATTTTATTTTTATCTAAATACATACATCATAAATAAAAGCATTATAATATTATGATTCACTGATGATAAATGTGAATCTACATACTAACATCAAAAGAGACACATTATAGCATAAGACAACATACACTATATAAATAAATATAATACTATTGCTGAATCTCGGTACTGCTGTTATCGGTACTTCGAATCGGAAATTATTTAAATATATCAGTTTATTTTTGTTTTAAATAACATTAGTGATGAAAAGAAAGAAAAAGTAGCTCGCATACCAGGGACACCTTTTCTGTCAAAAACCGTGGCATACTTTGTGACTGATATTAAAAAATGAAACACTGTAAATACTTCTCAGTCCACAGAAATTGAGTAAGGTTTGGCCCTAATTTTATGTACATAAATGTGTTGTTAAAGTACTATATCTGATTGTACCGTTTCTACACTTAATAAACCAAATAAAATAAAGAAAAAAAAAAAAAACTGTAAATAATTAGAGATCCTAATCAACTTTAAATAATATTTACTTTTGTTTTTATATTCATATTGAATATGTGTATAACAAATGTTTCTCAGGTTTTATGTTTTTTAATACATTTTTATTGGTGTACATTTATTCATCCATACGAAAAACAATATTGTTTTATTTTCATCACATCGTTTACTATAGATTACTAACAAATAATAGAACATGCGAAATAATATTTCCGTTTCCTCGAAAGTACTAGTTCCATTGCATACTTCTATCATTAATAAAATTATAATAAAAGTAATACCAAATCTTCGTTAGTGATAAAAATGATTAGTTTTGAAATTTTGTAGTATGTTTAATTAGCTTGACTAAAATATGTCAGTGTAAGAGCACTTTACATCATCCCTAAAGATAATTATACCCTGAACCCATTGAAAATGGGAAATCAGGGTATAATGGTTTTGTGAAAAGTATGTAACAGGCAGAAGGAATCATCGCAGACCCCATAAAGTATATATATTCTTAATCAGGACGACGAGCTGAGTCGATATAGCCCTGTCCGTCTGTCCGTCCGTCCGTCCGTATGAGCAAATGGATCTCAGAAGATATAAGAGCTAGAGAGCTGAAATTTGGCATGCATACTCGTGTATACCATAGGCAGTACAAGTTTGCTTTATTTTTTGATAACTCATCCGATAACTTTTTATCGAAAATAATCGTAAAATCGACTTGGTTTTTTCAGCCTAGTTTGAACACTTTTAAATCTGGAGACTTCGAATTTGCGTTGTATATAGAGTTAATGGACACAAAGATTTTGTAATTTACAGATTTTGGATACCACGCCCCCTTCGCTCCCAATTTGTATCTGAACGCATTTCAAGTACTAGAGACTTGTGCTTTGGAATGTACACACAATTTAACCATATGATTGCGCTCTGAAAGTTTCATTAAGATTGTATGTCTACAAAAGAAATTATTCAACAAATAAATTGTCATAATATTGCCCACATTGCAGCGCAGCCCAAGAGCAGCCGCTGCTTACTGCGCAGTTAGCAGAGCGCGTGCTTATAAGTGCATGTGTATGTATGTGTACATAGAAGAAGTGCAGAATGATTAGAATATCAGCTTGGAGGGTTCAGGGTATCTCCTAGTCGAGCAGTCTCGACTGGAGCCTTCTTACTTGTTTGATTTCAGTTAATTTTATATGTTTTATAGGCGTTTGAAAAAAAAAAAAAAAAAAAAACGAATATCAATGTTACTCACTGTATATGTATATATATTTGTCTATATATATATATAGTATGTTAATAACAAAAATTAAAATGATCTTTTCATTTCCCAGTGGCACTAAGCCATACCAAACTTCTGAAGAAAAATGCATTCAACACTCAATGTGCACAATGCAAAAAACCGGTCTTTAAATTGATCCAGTTACTCATTTAAGCAAGCGACATGGGTCGAAGCGAAAGCTTACAAATCGTCATTTATATATACGTGGACAATTTACAAATAAAGAATATTTCTTCTATTTAGCTAATAAAATGAAGGAAGGTTAGCTAGAGGAGTGGGGTATTTTTAGATTAGCATCCGCGAATAATACCATTCTCGCCATTCATTTTTAATAGTTTCATAAATTTGACTATGATAATGCAGTTTCATTGTAATTTCCTCTAAATGTAAGCCTATTTGGTCCATCTAACCTGGGTGTGTCACCGAAATTTTAAATGCCAATTAATAGCAGTAAATATTAAGGTCACAGCTGCAAACACTATTAACGATTTATTGACATTTAAGTTAAGTGATAAATACCTGTGTTCCTCAGCAATCAGTTCATGAAATTATGGCGTTGCTAATGAAGCAAATAGTTTGATTGTCATTTGTTTTGACTGACAATGCTCAAAATAAATACTTTCACTACTTTGGTTAAGTTGAGGCAATACAAATGCACTATAATTAATATCATTTTCTCAAGTTCCTTTTGAAATTTTTCATAAAAAATGAAAAAAAAGTTTATCTATGCATAAATGTACATTCACATACAAGATATAAAAAAATCCAGCGGTAGAATGTAAATTACTTACGTACATATTAATTACCAGTTTTTTAAATATTAGAACAGATCAGAACAGGAACTTAATAATTAAAAAACATTAAATATACATCCGATTATATATACTCCGTACATATGTAAAAAAGAGTTTAATTTTTGATGGGAACTCACATGTTCGGGTTTGTACAATAATTAATTGCCAACAACAAAATTAAACAATCTCTGGATACACTTAGGTAAACTGATCCGACAAGGCGTGGCTGGTCAGCTGGCTATACAACACAGCTGGCGTAATATTATGCTGTGGAGTATCGGTATTAAGTATTAGCCGGTTCTCGTAAATTCTAGTTTCTAGGTGCCACAATTTAAATGACGCGGTCGTGCTCGTTCGCCTGCTTCCATATGCATATAAAATTGCAGCATTCGCCCAATACCTGGCGTCTTAGCTTTAGCCACAATACAGCAATTGTAGCGTTGAGAAGCCGCCCAGTCGGTGATTGCGAAACAGTCACTCCAAGGCGTGGAGAAGGTCAGCAAGTCGGTTGTTGCTACCTTTGTTGTCGTTGCATTCACATTGTTGCCGTTGATTCTGAGACTGTTCTGATTTCGATTTTATAACTGCCGCTGCGAACATGGTCCAATGTATGGTTGGTTTTGTGAGTGGGTGAGGTATTATTAACCAAAACAAATAGTAAATATTTTTAAAAGAAATATATATAAATCTGATTCAATCCCCTTTGTTTATATATATATTTAGGACTCATTAAGATCAATTGCAAATTGACTCATTAAGATCAACAAATCATAGACCCTAATGAAAGCCTGTTATAATTAATACATAAAATAATTCAATGAATTTAAAAAATAAAAGCTTCATTTCAAAAATAACTTTAACAGTTTTTAGTTTGACTGAATATCGCAGGTCAAAAACCTTTTTTTTCATTAAATATCGATTTATTTGAATATTATTATATATTATCGTATTACTGAGTCTTGCAAACAGATTTGTTGCTGAATAAATTGAGGTTTTTCACAAAAGCTTTTTCAATTATCAGGGCCATTAGATCGTGAGCTTTTCTTAAACGCAGCACTCCCATTTTTAGCCAAGTTGTGAGTACAATAGATCGGTCGAAAGACCAAAGCAAGTAGACACAATGTACAATCTGCCATGAAGGCCGTTACAAATGTAGACTTATGCATGTACACACTTACGTACGTACGTATGAGAGTAGGCTTTTGAGCTTACAATAGACTGTTCAGTTAACGTATTAATAGGGAAGTTATCAAGGTTGCATACTTAACGGTTTAATGTACACACTCAAATTTTTGGTAATTTTGTCAATGCCCAATATGCGGTTAAATTGATTGTGTATAATTTTAAGTAAGTTTCCAGGGACTAGTTTGCTCACATTGCAGTACCTCTTGCAAATCGGCTTATTGTGCGCTTCTTTTAGCCACAACTACTCTTAACTTATCAAAACACTAAAATAAAAAGTAAGAACTAGTTTTTATTCCAGTGTTGGGACTATTGAGCACCCTTTACTCATGTTAACTAACCTCAGTCATTTAGTATACGACTTGGTAATCATTGGCGCTAGGTCAAACACATATTGCAGACAGATAGATGACTTAGTATTTATCTAGTACACACTTTATTGAAATTTATAAATACTTTTCATAGACTTGTGGGGTAAGTACAGGGTGTACTACCAGTTTGGCAGTACAACATGGTAGTAATAAATAAATATATTATCGCCGCCCATTTGTGAAGTGAATGGCAAATATCTTAGGGGCGCTGTCTTTCTGCAATGGTATATGAAGCTGAAAATGACAAATACTTTTGTTAACATTCACAGCAATTTGGAGCGTCAAATGTTGCTTGGATTTTGTAATTAAGACATTGTGGGACAATATAATAATTTGTTTATGAAAATATACATTAACTTAATAACTTTTCGGCATAACTATGACACATTTGTATATTTACACCATTGAGACAAACTGACAACCTGGCAAGCTTAATTTTTGTTTTACATATATTTATAGCCGTTAACCCTGATAAAGTCTTCAAATGTGTTAAAAGTGCGCTGCCAGTCTAATTTTGATAAGCCTTAAACTAAATTAGTAAGTTGCGCTGTAACTTTAGCTACACTAAAACTTGTGAGTATCCAGTTAAATATATGAAAAATCTACATTTAAAAGTCAGTTATCTGACATTTGAATAATGTTAATTTACTTAAGTTGCCAAGCCTCATGGAAAGTTTTTTTGTTCATAAGTTTTAGCTTTACTTTTGGTCTAGTTGTTCGGCATTGTTCTTGCTTGTTGCCGTTGTCTTCCGATAGTTTCACTTTTAACTATTTACTTCAAAATAGCTTGTATTATATGGAGCTATAGTCTTTGTTATGTAAAAAAATACAGTTCACAAGGAACTGGCACAACAACTTGAATTCAGTTTTAAATAATAAATTGATGTGGTAAGTATTTTCAGTATTAAATTGAGTTAACACATTTGCTAAGCAAAAGCAAATCTACGTCTACTAGCGAGCATTAAAAATTAATAGGCAACATGAACTAACTCTCGCCATTAGATCATAAAAGCTTTTGTCAGCAAGACAAATTTTACTCTTACTTTCAAAAGTTAAAGAGAGTCCGTCGAGGCGAGCAGCTATGCACGTAGCAGACGACATAACAGCGCCATTAACAGTGGTGGCTCTGTTAACTAACAGTCAACCACAATAGAGACCAATCTCAAACCTGGCTTGACTCGACGGTCCAGCTGACTGAGTTGAAGCACTTGCTGCGCACAGTCGCGTTTGTTAGTTGTTTCGATTAGGACGTGTTCCCTCGAGCGCACGGTAAGAAGTGATTTGGCTGATAGAATTGGAGTAGTGCAATAAGCTGGTTGCTTAAGAACAACACCATGTGCAAAGATCAAACGGTATAGAGCATTCACGTTCAAAAACCAACATATTAATGCGATCATAGGCTCGTAAGCGTCGACCTGTTAAATTCGTGACTATTGCACTCAACTAACTCACGTATAGAAAGCAGCCGCAGCTGCATTTTATAGTTCAAGAGACGCGCGTGTGTGCGCGAAAAAGCTACGGCAAACGTATTCAGACTGGCTTTACGTCAAAAAGAAAGTTTCGCCAAGAAAAACATCAACAAAAGCAAAAACTGTTAGGTTTGGTTGTTTGTTTATTTCATTTCGCTTTACATTTTCCTCGCTAAACATTATCTTAGTTGCATACATTTCTTCGGTATGGTACGCAGTGCGATAAAACTTTAAATCTGATCTTAGATTTCTTCGTGTTAATAATATCTATAATACCATGTTATGTAGCCAATAATTTAAAAATATTTTGTTGGTGGTTGGCTACTTTTGCAATATTAGAATTCAAGTGAGTATGTGTGTGTATATGCGTGTGTATGTGAACAAAGTAATGCTTTGTGCTAATAACCCTACATATATTATTTAAACAAAACTGAATTAAACTGCAGCCGCAGTCGAGAAAAATCCAAGAGCTCAAGAAAACTGTATCACAAAAGCCTGAAAACGAAAAAATCTAAATTAAAAGATTACGACATTGTTTCTCTACATACTTACGCGTCTACATACCTACATACATTCGCAAATATATATACCCTTTGTTTGCAGTAAAGACTGGCATTTTTTAAGCTGCTGTTGCCGTGCCGTTTGAATGTCGGACTGTGCTTGCATTTTGGTATTTCAAATTCTGTGAATTAACCTAAAAAACGCAACTGCAACTACAAGAAAATTTACAGTTACAGTGATGCGCAATAACAACAGCAACATGCAGTTTTCAACACATCGACGTAGTTTATACTGGCTTCTGGGATTATGTCTATTGTTATTCGAAACAGGTAAGATCATATTTGACATCATACTAACAAAATCAAATGACTTAAGACACAAACTCGTTACTAAGGAGCCGTATCTAGTTAGTCTAAGCCAAAACACCTCGACTAGTTATGTCAGAAAGACAGCAGAATCAGTTTATGTGATCAAAGTGCGACCTTAAGAAATGCTCTTACAGTTAATCAAAGAAACACTGGGCAATATTTCGTTCTCGAAGTAGGTAATCACTATGGAACTATGACTCTCAATTAAAAATACTATTAACTTTAAGTAGTTTAGAAAGGTAGTTCCTTTTTAAAATCATCAGCTTTTGGTTGTACGGTGCTTACAGATACTAGTAAAAGGGCCCAGTTCTAAGTTTTTGGAAATAAGATCATACTGTGTAAGCTGTCAAGCACCTGAATATATATCACAAATTGTTAAAAAAAAATGTACTGCAACCTGTAGAAAAATGGTGCCCGACCGAAACTCGTTTCGACAATACAATATTTGAATAAAGTCTGATGGCGATTCAAACATTTTGACAAAACAAGCTTTAGTCGTATTATATTGAATATTTATATGCAATATTTTGGACGTAACTACTGATATTCTCGGAATCGTCTGGTATATATAAATATTTTTGATGAGAACGATTGTAAAGGTTGTCATACTTAAATTTATATTTAATTGAAAATTAGTTTTCAGTCATCTATGGTTTGGTTGTACTTTTATATGCTATTAACGTGTGATACGAATCTTAAATTCATGTTGAAGCTTTCTTACCTCATTGATTCAAATTTTATTTATTGCTACTTCATCCATTTAAATACAGAATAAATCTTTTTGTATAGGGTATCACATACTCGAAAGTTCTTAAACAACAAAAATTTATTTTCTTATGTTATTCGTGAGTAATGCTGATCGGCAATCGCAAAAACTCGTTGGCTTAAAGTCATGCATATTATTATGAGTGGAATAACCATATTAAAACTGAGAAAACAGATAACATGTTTTCCGATGAATAAACTGATATTGATCTAACATTATTTTGACTAAATTAAAATGAAAAAGTCGTGCTCAAATGAAAGAGAATTTATACATATATTTAATATGCCCTTTCCAACTTATTCAATGAGTACAGGGTATAGTAATGCAGTGATAATCAAAATTAAAAATATATGATTTGAAGAAAAATAAAACTAAAATACTTTGGCATGTGTCTAAAGAAAGATTAATGAATCAGCGTTTATATGTAAATTTTAAAATATATGTACGAAAGAATTGTATTCATTTTTAACGTTTATAGAAAACCTGTTTGATTATTTGCGTATTATACGCATACACACAAATATATTACAGGTATAAAATGATATTGAGTCGATTCACTGTGTTTTAATCAGATCTATTATATCGATAATGAAAACAATGCAATATATTTTAAATATTGAGCTCGATTATAAATGAAATTATTCGCAACAACATTTGGGATCTTACTACTTGCCATATAGGGCGGGTGGAAGATAATAAAAATGTTGGTTCACGTGATCTATTTACCTAACACACATATTTTCATATGAATAATATGTAACATAATCATTTTGAAGCATAACAACGAGCCGGAGCGATTGGCGAGCCCGCGCTGTCCACTGGACAAAACACAAGATATTGGACTTATGTAAGCCATGCCAATCAGCTAGTCAGCTTATGGCACAGATATTAATTACATACAACACAGTGACTTGAGTGCTATGAACGAATTCGAAGAGTATTTTTTTTATTTTTTTTATTTTACGAGTGAGTGTTTATGTTACCAAACAAATTGCGGTTATAATAACTGTAAATAATTTGTAAACACAACTCACTTAAATGTATTTTAAACTAATAAATCAGCCAATATGCATAAATATAAAACAATCGAAAAATGGCTGTATATATAAAAATTACTGCAAAGAGTGGATTAGAATTCATTTTGGAAAGCACTCTATTATATAAAGCAATGAAATGAATGTCTATACAAAAATTTGCGATATTTTAAATGAAATATATGAATATACATTGTATTGTAAAAGTAATCAAATATTACGTGCACGTAATATTTCTTTGGGATTAGTTGGCGTAGTCCAATACTGCTGTTAAGGTGTATCGCTTGTAATAATGCACTCATACATACAAAGCACAAAGTTTGGTAGTACCTCGTTTGTCGTGTGTGTATTTAGAAAAACTTTCTTAGCTTAACTTATGTATTGGCAATGGAATTAAAATTCACGGGCCGCAGAAAGAAATCGACCCAGTCCGCGGGTCAGATGTTAAGGCATACGATTACAACATATTGAAATGAAAAGGCGGCAGTTTGAATTGGTTGACAGCACTTTAAGTATTATATAGAAACCTTACGTTGGCTTTAATCGAGAAAGTTAGCATGCAGAAATTATATATTTATTTATTGAAATGCGTTACGACACTTGGTAGTCTTATGATGTCCATGCAATAAGTGTATAAATAATGGAAGTAGAGGATTTCATAAGTTTGCTAAGCAATCTGTAAAAGAATTGTCAATGCCAAATTTAAAGTAAATTAACTTCACAGCTTATTATTATTATTATTTATTTATTAGATAATATAAAAAAATATAAATCTAAAAATTATTAAACGTGCTAGATACTTCACAGCTTATTTACTACAAACATAATCGATAGACGGCACATGCGGAAGGGCGTCATTAAATTCATACACCAGTTGCTATGCGTCTGTCTGACTTGTACTCTAAATGTAATCTGAGTGGTGCCCATGTGCATATACGATATATGGTGTAACATGAATGAAGCCGCTGTGCACTTTCGTTTTTTTTTTTGCACTTGCAGCTGAGCACAACAAAGGCTTAGGCAAGACAAGCTGGGTGCGCGCATTTATAAATATGAACAGAGTCTATTAATGCACTACTAGTGCAAATATTGTAATGGGTTAGGGTCTATGACTTTTCACCACAAACAATGATGGAAAATTGAACTTCATTTTGATTTTTTATTCCTATGTATGTGTATGGAATAAAATAATATTTCATTGACATCAGAGACCTCAGTAAAAATTTCCCAATCCTATTTATTATGAGATTATGGGGGCTACACAATTAATACTTTATGGCGCTACTCACCTTGAATTAGTTTTCCTTCCTTCTCATTGTGTCCACAAGATAAACAGATAGACGTTACCTGTCGGCAGACAAAATTATTTTCAATGTGCAATGAGCATGGCTGCACTCTCACAACAAGCACCAAATATATAACAAGTTTTGACATCTCTATAAATTGTATTTTAAAATAGCAACAAGTCGCCTTGACTGGCACGTCTGCTCTACTTAACGCTCTCACACCTGCCTCTGGCCCAGACTCGGCGTCCAGAGTGCTCTTTCTCACTGACGGCCTCCGTAGCTAATGGTTGAATGCCCAGTTAGGATTGCGTAAAACTCTTAATTTTTATGATTATTTTATGCGCGTTTCACATCTACGGCTCGCTGCTCAAAGCTTACTCTCACTGACACAAGCGGGCACCCGTAACGCTAACATATGACTTAAGGCGACTTTACACCGTAACTGTGTAATTGATTGAATGGAAATTGACTTTGGACTCGACATTCTACTCCCGTACTTATAATTACCAAATCCATATGTACGGTACTCAAAATTATATAAACTATAGCACAAGAGCATGTGGCAATCATAATTTATAGACACGGCTTTGTATATGCATACATCAAAGTCGTAGGTTGCTATACATTCATATGTAATTGGACGACCGAAATGTTTCACTTTCTTTTCAAATGCCCCTTGAATGAATGGGTGAATGTGTTTTCTGTTAACTTTTAGATCGCTTAGGCTCTTGCAAGATAAAAGCCTCGAACAAGCTCAAAGAACTTTGAGATGAGTTTCACGCTGACCACAAAATAAACAGTAAGGTAAAGTTTGGTTTTTTGGATTATCCACGTTTGTTGTTTATCCACTACCCACAGTTTAAGTACTCGTGTAGTGCAATTACGTGAGTACAGTGGCAGTTGCAGCCATAAAGAGAAGTAGACAGCAAACAATTCAAGGCTGTAACTGCGCATAACTATACAACAATTTAGAAAGGCAGTCATGCTAAATGATTTTGACACCGTCATGGGTCTTGGGCGTGCAAACGCTGCAAGGACACAGTCCAATTTAGCCTGGCCCATCTGCGCTCATTTGTCGACACACACATAACTAAAGCCGGCCTACATGTAATGTTTACAATATTAATCCCCGTAACTCATTGATGAGTAAAGATCGAGTCTGCATAGCGAAAATCAATTGATTTTTGATGTATTTATGCGTTTTTTAGCAGATTGCTCAGTTACCGCTTTTTCAGAGACAGGGCTCGTTGACCTTAACGGCCATGAAGCTGACGCTCAGTCTCAACACTGTGGCAGAGTTGACAATGTGATAAACAGGATTGCTGCAGATGAGCAACGACCTTGGAGCTTACATGTTTTGTTATTGTTTTCATTTATATGAGGTTAATTCCGCTTCATCGCTCAAGGTCGCAAAGGGCAACTGTTCAGATGCAAGCGAAAACCGCATCTTTCCAGCTTACACAGTAATATATTATTATTTTGTACATAATTTTTCAAATATTTCCTATACGGCTTGAGCATGGTGTTAACCTTTCACTTTCACCAGGCAGAGCGAATCATACTAGCCGCAGCTTGGCTGACAACGCTAATGCAATGCAGGCTCTACAGTGACACTGTATTTATCGATTAATGATGCTAAAGCGTCTGTTACATAAGGTACACAGGGCTGCCCGTCTGCTCCGTCTAAGGTGCTCCATTAAATGCAGAAAATGTAATGATTTGTAGACCGAGCTGATTACGCGCAAATGCCTTTTACCTTTCAACATGCAGCGGATGATTAATCATCATTGGCAAGAGCTTGGCCCGCCGTGTTAGCCAATCGAACCCACCTATGCAATGCACCTATCGGAATTGTGTCAGATGGTGGGTCATCAA